TTTATAGCAGGCACATGCTCTTCTTCGTATTCTTGCATCTCCGTCGTAAAAACAAGATGATTATAAAGATTGCATCTGTTCATTGATACAATTTACAGCAAACTGTTCATAAGAATTTGTCGTATAAGATTCGAAGCCAAACATGTCCAAAATGGATATAGATAACGAATCGCCACTGAAAACATTGAGGTTATTTGAATAAGGAATAATTACTTTTAAAGTATTTGATAAAACTTACTACAAAGTACGATGGAATGAAAATTTATTGTTAATAGCATTGGTGATCAATCGACCAATCTCGAATATAATGTTATGGCCAATATATTAAAAATGTCCTTGGTTTCTTCACATGTTCGCTTGCATTCCATTTTTGTCTCATTTTCAACAACATAAGTATTTAATAAAACTTGTCCAAACATAAATTCATCAACATGAAGATTTTCTGAAATCTTCTTGATAGCTTCTGTGGTGTACAATTCATTGTCATTATTGTCAAAAGACATATCATTGATTATAATTATAGCCGCGAGAACGTTCCAAATTATATTCAATTGTTCATCTCCAAAACCAGTTTTCGTAGATTATTAACAAAAGTCATGAATTTCTTAGTATTTTCTGTTTTATTATTTTCGTTAAGCAATTTAAAAATTCGCGGTTGGACTTCGGTATCCAAATTATATAAATGTAGTTTTCCAAGTGCCATCATGCCCTCATAAAAATAGTGGAAAAATGTTAAAAGTCGTAGTGTGCTAAAAACAGCTTTTATTAGATCTATAGCATTTATTTATATAAATATACATATAAACGTATTTTTTATTTATTATTAATTAATTACCCATTTAATTGAATAGCTCTCCATTTTTCTAGTTGATATATTGAATACACTACTCCGCTAATATTTCCAGTTGAACTGTACGTTAGAATTGTTTGGAGCACACATCTGGTAGAATGGTCATTAAATTGTGTTTTGGCTTGGGTCAGAAATGTTAAAACTTCTAGTGATGAATTTATAAGGTCACCCATATTTCTGTCAGTTTCACCTAAAGTAAAAAAACCTTGATATAATACTATTATATACAATTATTATATGCAACATTTATAAAGATTACTGTGGATATTAGCAGGTCCAAGTTTCAATACCAAGTTTCACAATTATAAAGATATTCTAAAGATGTAAATTATACTTAATATTCTAAACAATTCTATTATTGATACTAGATTATTCGTATTTGCTCTCAGACTGCTTTCTAATGAATAATTAAGTATAGTTCAAAATATATAAAACTTATTTGTTAATATACAAAAAATTGAAAAAGTTTACCCATGTATGATAAATGTTTTATAATTTTGGCAGCGTTCACACTTTTTCCCGAACAAGTTTCACCAAACAGTAAAATCCGTTGACCTTCTTTATAATGCAACATATTCTGGTAAGCTCCATCAGCCACAGCAAAAACATGTGGAGCATGATCTGATTTTGATTTATATTATATTTTGCATGGTGCTAAAATAAAATATATTACAAAATCTAATTTTATATTATTTTCTCCGCCATAGTATTTACCTCATCAGTAAATAAATGTTCGCAGTCTTCATCGGGATTTAAGGCAAGCAATATATCTCCAATAAATGTATATATTAGCCCTTTATCAAATCTATCATGTAAAAGATTTAAAATATTTTCTTCTGTAATATTATCCATAGTCGATAAATCTTCTATAAGTAATTTCTGCGGTGAAGTATCGTTGCTACATTTAATTTCCAAGTTATCAAGAAATATTTCTGTTTTTTTATAAAGCTTCCTTGTGCTACGAAAATCTTCTACTAGCTTCGAAAGTTCCAAATTTAACTATGAAAATAAAAAATAAATAGTAAAGTTAAGTTAAAGTTAGACTAGTGTACTTGCTTAAAAGACCATTAATAAAAAAGTTATTGTTAACTTTACAGAAGTTTTTTTGCAACCATCTTTGTATACATTGTTCTAAGATTTTTCCTAAATTACTTTATTCACAAGTGCACATACATTTGTGAAAAATATTATTCTTTGCTAGATGTACTGTATTTAGCACTATATATTTTTGAAGCATTATGCAACATTTATTTCCGCAATCAACAACACATATTTCCATATCTAATACACATATAAAAACTAATATATTAATTCAGTAAATTCTATGTTGAAAATACTAAAATTTAGAATTGATGACTGAATTCTAAGAGTTGATGTTGATATAAATTTTTATTGTGAAAATTTAAAAATACATACATGATAATCACGTTCTGGAAGTTGAGTTATAAACGGATGAGCTACGACCTCCATCATTAAAGGTCGGTGTTCTGGATTTTTGACTAAACATCTGCAAAATTATATCAATTTTACTATTTGATAGATGCCAAATTAATTTTAAAATTATATTTCTAATATTTCTTTTAAAGAAAATGATTCTGTTGTTATACATTAATATTGCAAAGGAAAATGGAATTACACGAAATATTCGTAGAGTGATTTTACTATTTTTAGAATATTGCATATTCATGTGATGTACTTACTCTTTCGCATGTACATAATGGGTAACTATGTTTGAATTTTAATTTCGATCTTATTAATTCAATAATATTAACTCACTCATTTATGAAATCGTTGAAAGTATTTGACCACAGATGGGGCCTGTATAATCCAGGTGGGGGATTTTTTTCGATATGAAATAATGCCCTTGTTGGATGCATATCCTCATAGGGCGCCGAGCCATCACCCATTTCAATAGCAGTGATGGCCAAGGACCACACGTCTGCTCGGCTACCGTGAAAACTTTGATCTCCTGATATTATCTGTTGAAAAATTAATAATATTGATTAATAGCATAATATAAATCGGGTTTGTTTCGCGAGATTTCTAAAGAAGGTCAGAATAAATTTATAATAAAAAAAATCGTTGCATGAAAGCACGAATTTATAGTGAAAATTAAATTTGATCCACGTAACAAAAATGTGTCTACTACATTTTGAAATCGTATACATGATCATGCATTTTTGTTCACCTCTGGAGCCATCCAACAAGGTGAACCTTGCCTCAATTTCTCAATGCTTCCGCGATCTCTTACTGAACATCGAGATAGATTGAAATCTATGAGTTTAACTTCTCCTCTGGTAGTTAAAAGAATGTTATTTCCTTTTATATCGCCATGTGCCAATAAATGACCATGTAAATAAGTTAGCGCTCTGATGATTTCTTTCAGAATAAAAGCTATGTGCTCTTCGAACATTCGTCGATTTGCATGGATCAAAGCTCGGACAATGTCGATCACGGGTCCACCTTCACAAACCTAAGTATATAAATTGAATACTATATATTTTCAACAAAATTTTTACTTAATCTGATAGTTGAATGTGTATCACCTCCATAAAGAAAAGAATTTTTACGGGTTCATCTTCTGTTTTATAAGCTCCATAGAATTCTGGTAAATTCGGATGTAAGCATAAATCTTTGAGTACACTATATTCTTTCAGAATTAACTTGTCATATCGGCCATCTAAAGGTTGAACTTTTACAGCGCACTTGCTCTCTAAAAAAAACAATAATATACATTTACTAAACCTATTTAGCTCAAGGCGCACTTCATTAATACACAATCAAACAAAATTTAAGACCTTGCTAATATATTTTGATTATATATATATTTGTACCTGTAGCAGGGTCCTTTGATAAATAAACTTTACCAAAAACACCTGATCCTAGCAGCTCTTTACATTCAAATTGACTAATTATCGGCAGCGTTTCCAATGATATATCTTCACTTCCCTCCATAATTATTTAATTATTATGTCTTTTTTCTTTAATATTATTATTCCTTCTTGCCATATTGTTCATGTGAAATCTGAAAAAGGACTGTTCATTGACTTACTCAAATTAAAACTCTGCTACGAAGCTTATTCAATTAGCAAGTTTAAATGAAAAGAAGCCACATAGCTCGCTAATCTTTCGCAGTGAGCAGATATGAGCACCATAAAAATATACAAAGCAGATATTGATTTTACTATTGTGAACAAGGTCGATTTTCCCTCGCCGGCATGAAATTTTTTTTAATTACTAAGTTGAGATCAATAAACTCGATGTTTCATCATTTTTTCATTACTAATTTACTTTCTAAATCAGTATATTTAAATCGTTACCATAAAGAAAACTGGAGAGCTTGCAATATTATTAGAAACTCTAATGAGGAGTATTACATTAGATAAAACTTCACAAAGGTTTTATGCAATACTTGAAAAGGAAGTAGAAAAATAAGGTCTTCTCGATTAAGGCATTGCCTTTGGACACGCAAAAGCTTATAGTAACTTTGAACTCTAAGATTAAATAGCTATTGTTTTTTTGTAGTTAGTTAGCGTTTTAGAATAATCTTTAATTAAATATGTGTATTCCTATCGTCATTTTGATGTTATCCGACCCAATCGAGATGGGATCTCGGGGGGCTTTCTCGACACTATTATTGTTTTGTTAATGTGCGCTTCTCGCGTTATGAATTTTTGTGCGATTCGTTTCGGCAATATAAATATTTCGCAATCGTAAAGTTGTTCAAAATATCGCCAACTGTTGCCGTGTCAAATCCGCCGTTCGGTTAATTAAGTAAAGAAATATTGAGTGGTGGTCTAACAGACTGACGCTTCCACTCAGGGAGTGATTACACGTTCTGAACTTTCGCAATAAATTTATATGTGTTTAAAGCAGGTACCCACTGAATGTTTTTGAGAGATAACTGATGTTACTTCATTTGGAATCCTTATTCACGTGAAAACAGACTATTTTTTTTTATAAAAAAACAACAACGATATCATAATTTGAAAAAATTCATTCGTGAATTCGACTTTTTTGACCTATTTTTTGTATAATAATAATAATTAGTGACTTAATCATTTAATGATTCACTGCTAACGATCTGTAAATTAAACTTTTTTATGTGGCAATTCTTGATTGGTTATTTCATCATCATTCATTTATTCTTTATATTTTCTATCTTGCTGAGTCTTATAGAGACCATTTTAAACATCAGCAGATAATAATAGAATATATTTATAATCTTCAATAGTTGATTATTAAATTTGTAGATACATCAATTTTACTTTATTATGTAAATATAATGTGCAAACAATAGAAGCATAATTAACAACGTTGTAAATGAAGAAAAAAAGTACAACTGCTTTACAAATCTGATAATCAATTGATGTCGTTGCTTTTTAAATATCACATGTATGATCGTTCAACACATTGTATTTGTTTATGAAGAATATTACAATAATATTTACATAATAAAGCAAATACGTGCATGAGATTGAATAAATAATGTATACAAAGAGAGACGTTTGGGTGTTCAATATAATATAAATTTTGTGCTACGCGGCAATTAAAATTTGATTTTGTTAACGCGATGTCATAGTTAAATATTTTAGAAGTAAATATTATATAGTATGTCTTAGAAGTTGATATAAGTAGAATCTTGAAACATTAGCGTAAAGTGTCAAGTTCTATGTACTCCATCATACGATTTGTTATGGTTTTTTAGTGTTATTATTTTTTTAATTCAGTGGAATTTCGTTGATTGGAATAGCATTTGCTATAATTTTTTAATTTGAACCGTTTTTTTACCATCGTTTTTGTTGTTGCCTTATATAGTGTAGTAATTAGTGCCATACACATTAAATATTCGAATATATTAAATTGACAAGTATGTTTGAAAAGCAACAATTACATATACAAAATAAATTATACGTTAAGTTTATTGTTAATTATTTTTTTAATGCACTGGAATTTCGTTGGTTGGTATAGCATTTGCTATAATTTTTTATTTTAACCGTTTTTTCACCATCGTTTTTGCTGTTGCCTTAGGTAGTCTAGGAATTAGTGCGATGTACATTACATATTCGAATATATAAAATTGACAAGTATGTTTGAAAAGTAACAATTACATATACAAAATAAATTATACGTAAGTTTTGGACGACATATTATATCTAGGTATTACAGTGTTATCTTTGTCAAAAATTTGCTCATGAAATTTACATTTTTCATTCGTTGAACATTGTAGTTGTTATTTCGTAAAATTTCTTTAAAATTAAAAGCCATTGATATTTTTTTGCTCTCTGTTTGTTTCATTGGGTAAAGGAGACAGATGACGATTTTAAAGAAAACAATTAAAAAACACATTTATATAATCAGGAATTAAGTGGGAATTTCACTGAACATAGTATGACAGCTGTTTGTTTGATACATGTTATGTGTTGTGATATTGTTCATTTGGTTTAGACAGTATAATTACTCAAATTTAAATTGGATCCTTGTTCTCAGCCCATTATTATATATATATATATATATATATATATATATTATTGTTTAATATGAACAAAAACAGCACTCAGATTTGTTTAACACAACTTTATTTTATGATTACAGACGTTTCGAGACCATGGTGTGTCTCATCTTCAGTGTAATTTCAAAAACAGTTACTTATATACTACACATTCTTTAATAATTTATATTAAAAATTAAATGAAATTTAAATAAATTATTAAAGAATGTGTAGTATATAAGTAACTGTTTTGAAATTACACTGAAGATGAGACACACCATGGTCTCGAAACGTCTGTAATCATAAAATAAGTTGTGTCAAACAAATCTGAGTGCTGTTTTGTTCATATTAAACAATTAATATTCGTTCCACTCATATCATAAAATTCTATAATACATATATATATATATATATATATATATATATATATATATATTAGTATATATTAGTATATATAATGTTCAGGTATTCGGCTTGACCACTTTTTTATATGTTGTTTTGAGGAACCTAATTATAGATGTTAAGCAGTTTAAGAATCGTAGTGCCAACACAATTGCGGGTGGGCAATATAATTATTTTACTTTCAGGTGTTGCTTCTGCTTTATCTTCTGCTTGTATTTTATTTACTTCCGCAAATTGATTAATTTCTGACACCATCCCTAAATTTGGCCTGAGTTTATTTTTTCCGTGAGGATACCGTTTCTTTGGCTTTTTACTTCTGAAACGTTTCTGCATAGGTAGACGATGATAACACAGATTCACGCTCGGGTGGCATTTCGAAGCGCGACTAACGCGATAATGTTACGAAGAAGCTCACGGACAGATGCAATACGCACCATTGTCCGGCGGGTTCATGTTCGGCTCATTGCGCGCTTTTGACTACATTGTATACTAACGCACCGATGATAATCTTTTAAGCTCAAAGTCCATATTTCATTGCATTGACAATCGCAATACTTGCATGTGTGTATGCGCGAAGTGTTTCTTCTTCGTCTTTTTATTTTTTATTCCGGGCCCTTCGACCGGACAGAATCAACAATGCAATTTATCCGAAGGAAGAACGAAATATAATAATGTATGTTGCGCGAGTAGTGTATGTGTTCTCCAACGCGAAACGCAGTTTTTAGATTTGTTTCGTATGTTGTTTTTATTGTTTGCCGTCATACAAAGAATGATGTGCGAATGATCACCAACGACGCTAATGGTCGTCGTTTAAGCTAATTCTCTATAGTTTTCCGAGAAATGATGCTGATACAATTGCATTGAAGAAGAAAATCAATATAGATAAATCAATTTGTAATAACAATCGAGAAAATTATAGCATTTCTTTGTAAAGATTTTCTTTCATTCTAAATCTATTTTTTCATTGAGGCGATTAGTCTAGAAATATTATTAATAGAAAGAGCTATTTATGTTTCTATAAATTAGTGAAAACTCATGAACAATATCAGTAAATTGGACAAGTTTATTTTGAACTTGAACTTTGCATTTACCTCAATAAACTTTTACGACATTGATATATTTTTGAAAAATCAAATCAAATATACATGTCAATATAGTTTTGTTGATGTCAATATAAATTTATGATCTTCTATTTTTATAATTTTTTTTTTTTTTTGTAATTATATTGATATTTAACAAATCAATTTCTCTCATTTTTTTACATAGCAATTAATATGTTGCTTCATATTTTTATTACAATAAATTAAGTACAATGATTATTTATCTATAACTAAATAATAATTTAATTGTTTTGCATAAGTTGTATAAAATTCGAGTTTTTAGTGTTTCTCTAACACTTCTTACATTATTTCTTTAATTTAATAGAGGTTAAAGTCAGTCAAATTTGAAAATATATATGCTTATAGTTAAGTGAATAAGTGTTTTAAGCGTTTCATAGGGATATTAATAAATTACGAAATAAATTAAAATAAAAATAAATTTTAATGATTATATACTACTAGTACATAACATTAATATTACTAGTACATAACACTAATTAAATACTGGGAATAAAAGTATTTTTTACTTTGATTGGATATGGTAAATAATACATTCAAATTATAACTTATTCCTGACATCTTCACAATGAAATACATTTTTACAATAATAACACTGGCCTGCAAATTTTAAATTTTCGAAAAGTACGATTAGAATATTGTAAAATCAGAAGTTACATCCAACTTGTTTTCCAATTAAAAGTACATATATATAAATACTGTAAATAATAATAGACTTTTGCAAAGATGGCGAGGATAATAGATAGTAAATTATCTTACTGTATTATATAAGTGATGAAAAATATTTATGCAATATTGGTTTCTCGTTTGAATTTCAGTCGTTATGTATGTATAATTTTCTTCATTTTTCAACACAGGCCTATGTAATTTGAGCATTCATAACACACGGCTAAGGAGGATACATGATCTCGTATAGTAGTCCAGTCATTTGGTGCAAAAAAAGTTGTTGCCGGTACAGTACTCCGGAAATTCTGAAAATTGGTAATCTTATAGATTTTGAGGTGCTCTTTACGAAAATCAACTTTGCTATCTCAAATTTGAACGGCAAGTTGCCGCCATATTGGAAAAATGGCGTCAAACAACAGCTTTTTTTAAAATATCTCCTTTCTGGCTGATTCTACAATAAAAGTATCTATGTACGAATTAAACTAGATAAAATTTCCTACAATTCCTTAGAAAACCGTTTTTTTGTAAAATTGATAGTTTGAGAGTACGGCCGCCTATTTGCTGCTCTCGCCGTAGTATCAAATCTCTCTATATATGACAGCACTTCGAACTTGACTACATTCTCTCTAATAATTAATATTTTCAATGCTAAATTAAGCGAATAAGATCTAGAAATAAAATAATTCAAATATTTTTCGTTTTTTTTTTGCTGATTTTTTAAACGTCAATGGCAAAGTAGCTATAAGTAAGTAGCTTGAAGTGTTAAAAAATCAGCAAAAAAACAGAAAAATATTTGTATTATTTTGTTTCTAGATCTTATTCGCTTAATTTAACATTGAAAATATTTATTTATTAGAAGGTATGTGGTCAAGTTCAAAGTGCTGTCATATATGGAGAGATTTGATACTGCGGCGGGAGCAGCAAAGACTTTAAGGCAGCCGTACTCTCAAACTATCAATTTTACAAAAAAACGTTTTTTTAAAGAATTGTAAGAAATTTTCTTTAGTTTAATTCGTACATAGATACTTTTATCGTAGAATAAGCCAGAAAGGAGATATTTTAAAAAAACTGTTTTTGACGCCATTTTTTTAATATCGCGGCAACTTGCCGTTCAAATTTGAGGTGGCAAAGTTGATTTTCGTAAAGAGCACCTCGAAATCTATAAGATTACTAATTTTCAGAATTCCCAGAGTACTGTACCGGCAAAACGACCAAATGACTGGACTATAGAGTATACGTGCATTTTTGGTTTAATAAACATTAATATTTTCACACATTTTTATTGGGACACAAATATGCAATTTAGTTCACTATGTTTCACTACTTTTATTTAAGTTTATATACTGTGAACATTCAATGATTGTATTCAAATAATTGAACGAACTTTTTTGGACAATGTCTATGGTTTTATCACAAATTAATATCTTTCACCTCGGATTAGATTCTACTTGCACCTATCTATTTGCATACGGCTATCCATTCGTCTCGTTCGCAAGTGTCACAGTCGACCGTGCAGCACCAGTGGAACCTGCAATTGCATCTCGACACATAGTGTTCCCTTATCAAATTGTATCCGCGTCCGCAACACATCGTCGAACAACTGTCGAGAGCGGCGTCCTGGGTCGCGTTGTGGGTGCAGCGTCTACCCGACGTACCTGGTCGGTTAACCACAAAAATTGATTTGTTAGAGGAAAGTGAGTTGTGAAAATCAGTTTTGTATTCGAGTTGTTCTTACACATTAACAGATTTCAAGCCTTATCAAATTTAGTAATATCAGTCATCAAATGATAATTATGGCGTGAAATCTGCTGTTTTTTTATACTAGACAAAACTAGGACGTATATTTATGAGGTCAATTCTACAATAAAATATAAATGTTATGGCAACGCTATATTATGAGTCTATTTTTGTATGAAATGGTTGGCTATGAATTTGCTGTGCGATCAGGCGTTTCACACATTGAACCTAACCTACAAAACGCACACATGTCAAATAACTATTTTATCATAAGCGCGTTTTTCTTATGTTTCATTGATAACACATTTTTGAAGTTAGGTTTTTGCACATCAAATACATAGCTTTTTGTTAGTTCTGTCTACCAATTCATTCGAAGATGTAACAGTCCCGTAACATAGCGTTTCCGTAATATTTCCTTTTTATCGGAGTTAAGCAAATATTGCTAGATGGCGTATATGTTTATCGTAAGGTTATATAGATTCACAACAAAACAAATCTTTTTGTGAATATCAACGTGTTGGTTTCTATCCACAATAACAACAATTGATTACATTTTAATTATTATTGGTAATTGACATCAATAATATTTATTGTTGATTCATCATTGTTTTGAATTAGGGAAGCTGCTTCTAATTTAATTTTCAACAAAGTACTGATTATTTAAATATGTTTTATATCATACCTGCAATATCGGCTGCAGAGTCAGCATCACAAAAATTTGGTGAACGTTCATAATACAATAGCGATTGCTGAAATCGTTTTCCACGACCTCCACGTTTCCTTTTATTTGAAGAATTTTCGGAATTGATATTTCGGTTTCTATTGCCACCGCCTTGTCTATTTTTTCGCCTGAAAGAATAAACTTGTAGTGAAATAATTCATTCATTTATTCAAACATTAACGTTATCGAATTGGTATGAAATGAATATAGGTAAATGATACGTCAACAGATATAATTATATTAGTTGAGTGACTGAAACTAACTGAAATATATATTTTTTACCTCTTTTTCTTTGAATCTACTCGCAGGATAGGCGATCCATCGTTCATATTCGATTGATCGACCAAAACCGCAGATTTGTATCGATCTCTGAGCACGCGTCCAACGGTACGAAAATCCGGTGAAGTTTGCCAACACGTTTTCAATTGACAACTACCTGACATTCCATGGCACTTACATCTTATTTGCATATTATTAGCTACAGCCTGGATTAAAATTTTGGATAAATATCATAAAATATTTATATAATTTTAATTATGTGTTTATTGAAGTTTTACCAGTCTACCGGCTTCGTTGTTGTGTAGATTTATACGCGATTGTATATCTCCTAGGCTTTCTCTGGAATCTAGAAATAATCTGGAAAATTCCATTCCATAGTCTAAATTATGTGAACAACCGCCCCATTTCCATTTACTTCCCGTTTCAGTTTTTTCGGAATTTTCAAGTGGTATTTGGTTTATTGCATTCATTTCATTATTTATACCAATAGCATTTAGTCTGAAAAAATATGTTTTTTAATTAAAAATTCTTTAAATATATCTTCTTTTGCTCACCTTTGTTCTTCAAGTTTGAAAGCTTTTCGGTTAGCCGCTGTTGGCAAAAAAGGCTTTTTCGGGGTCGGTCCACAGCCACATGATATAAGAGATCCTTGACTACACGCTCTGGTTACACTGTGCAATATTCCAGCAGCCGATATTGCATAAGCAAATGCTGATTCTCTATAACCTATGAAAATAAAAATAAAACATTGATTGAAATTAGTTCTGACTAATCTGAACGTACACGCGTGATCTTATCTTTTACACGTCTCACGTATATATATATATATATATATATATATATATATATATATATATATATATATATATATATATATATATATATATATATTGATCTTTGACAAACTGTTTTATCTAGTTATTCCGGGTATCATTAATTTATGTACATATAGTTATATAGATTTAAAAGAATGTTTGAATGAATTTACACGCCTATGTATTGTCATCGTTAATTTTTCTGAAAATCCTATTAAATAAGCCGATTCAATCTGATTATTCGACACCTTTACAAGCATAATAATAAAAGTCTATAAAATCAGTATCTAATTATTCAATCAATATTCTGAGTTAATTACCGAAGTACTAAAAAAATACACACATACATTGCTTGTGAAGACATAGTAATACGAAATTGAAATAGTTTTTGAATTAGAAACTCTTACCATGTTTTAAGATTGCCGACGTGTGCGGATTACTATTTTTTGTATCCAGACTTGAACAGTTCCATCTTTCTTTCCTAAACTGGTGCTGACATTCGGCAACCGCCATTTGGAGCCCTTGGAGCGCCGTGGCCGACGTATCTCCTTGTCGTTTACACAAGCGCAACTGCGCCCTCGTCAGCCCTTGCACCGATCTGCAGGGAGACATTATGTTCGACATCGGCCTTCTTCGAGGCGCGTAGTTGTTGTACGAGCAGCGCGCAGCGCTATAATAAAAAGCAAACTGTTAAATATTATGAAATATAAAGAAAAAATCAATATTATTCAATTACATACAAGTAATGTATAATGAGTAGTAAAAATGCCACCCTACACTAAATTGCTAGAAATTCCTGAATGCTTTATTCGACTTGAGCAAAGTGTGATAGTTTTCTGATGACAAGCAGAAATAAAAAAATTGATATAGATAAAAGTGAAATCGCTACTAATTATACTAGAAAGCTGCGAACAAAAAAGGAAAAAAATACATTTAGACTGTGATAATATATATTTTTTTTGTATTTGTACGAAACTTTACGATTTCTCTAAATCTATTTTCAAAAATTTTAGGTAATACTATTAACTAGTTCAAAAATGAGAAAGTGAAATTACCATTATTAATTATATTTACGCGAAATTGGTAATGACACAAAATAATTAGAAGTGTAATATTACAAGAACTAGGTTTTAAAACTAATTATCATTATACGGTTTTGATAATTTATGATTTCTTTCAAATCATCATACATATCTATAAAAGTTTACTATGTTTCAAATCAAATTGAAACGTGTCATCAGTTTTTTCATTCCCGTATATCTCCTAAATCTAGTCAAAAAAGAAAGCGCATCATTAAAAGGATTAATTCGTTCACATTAAGCCCTGGATATAATGCCTTGCTTACTATTTGGAAATCGTGTAGTAACAAATTACAATGTTAACTGATGTGTTTTTTAAATTAATCTTGTTTTAATAAATGTTAATCTAAATCACATTAATTTATCAAAGTGAGAGTAAAACGTATTCTCAAATTTTTTTTATCAAAATTATATCATTAGATAACTATGTAGATGCGCTCTTTAAAATTTGAAACTTGCTGTGTGTTTGTATACGAATCGTTAATCACTTAACAATAATGTAAACAGTATTGCACTATACATTCACCAAACTTGTGATTTATTTGTAATTATTTATATGTATTCATGTGATAGAGTATTATTTAATAAGTTAAAATATCTACTAGTGACTTTGCGCTAGAAAAGTTTTTGAACACAATAAATCAGTTGAAAATTATTTATTGAAAACAAAATACCCTCTAATTAGTATTTTTAATTTTATGGGCAAAAAGATTTAACGCCCCTGCAATACAGAAATGTTTCGAAAGTAAAATCACCGAAGCCATCTACATATAAATAGTCCGTCGAATATTTGAAATACCAAATGACTTTTATAAAATTTAATTGACGATGTCTCGTAGCAAGCATGGATCTTCTTATCTTTATTTATGTTCAATTTATTCACTGACAATAAAATCGATCCAATTTTTTTTCTAAACGAGTACCAATCGGCATTCGTAATGACTACGTGATAAACTTAATGGCTCTCACCGAATGATTACATGCAGTTTGCATTAGTTAACATGCTGGAATGGAAGTTGAAATACAAAAAAATATACGACTTTATTTACATGTGAATGTTTTGTATTATAAATTGATGATGCATGAAATTTTAATCGAGGTATTACAAATAATTAGAATATACGACATACAAACAGATCATGAAGCTCAAAATTATGAAAAATATTCGGCTACAAGGGTTTTGTTACATATAATCTTTTTGAATAATGATGGTAGAATAAAATTTATCAAATGTTTAGTGAATTTGAATATAATTATTCCTGATTTTATAAAAATAATTTGCTTCTATTATGATGTTATTTCTTGATATCATAACTTACTCACCTCAGTATGAAGAGCAGCGCGATGCACGTTATCAAATACAATGAATTCATCTGCTTATTACGTCGTCTCGTTTTGCATCACTCTTTTGTTTAAAAACATTCATGTTACTGCCAATTCATGTATAGTCTTCAACTTTATCAATTGATTATTAATAAACTTGCACATATTTATTCTCATAGAAATTTACCACATAAAGATATTTATCAATTCTTGTAGCAATTTCTTTTTAATTTCATAGTTTCGATCAGGTAATTCTGAAATTAAAATTAATATACAATCAAATATCATTTCTTTACAACCTACCATAAATTAGAGTTTATTATTACCGTCAGTAGTAATATTATATCAAAAATATAAAAAAAATAACTGTCAGTCAAAAAAATTAACTGACTGTCATATGGACAATTAATTATGTAGTATAGCAAATTAGACATATAGTCTTCTTCTAAATTTTTTAATAACTAGAACACATACATGTACTGATAGTAATTTATGTATATAGAACCCTTAGTATAATGAAGATGTTAATTACAAGCGGCTTATGAAATATCGCTTTTCCAAAAATATCGTTTGTATTTGCTCATATCTGTATATGGTTAACGTTATTTTACTTAAATAAAATCTGGACCTGGACTTGGTTCTGGACCTATTTTACTTGAATAAAAACTGGACCTTGATTACAAATAATATAAATATATGAAAAATTTCAACAATATGATTATACAACCAATTTCAGTTGCATCAAGTTTAGTTCAGTTTTAACTATACGTCTATAGTTGAATATTATATATATATATATATATATATATATATATATATATATAAGCACAGGCATAAAATGACAATACTCATTATTTTTCTATACATTATATATTAACTATTAATTACAATATTTTACTTGATTTTTATTGAAGGTTGTGACAAACTTTGTAATTCAAAAAATGCATTATCATATTCAATTATTTAATTTTGAACACACTAGAAAATCCTCATCACCTAGTTCCTATCGGGAGTTGTTTCTCGCAAGTTACGTGGGCGAACGGAATTACTTAAGCGCTAATTGTATGACTAAGGCCCGTACACTTTGATTACCGCGACCGGCTTACGAACACAGCTCCGCGAATAATAATTGCTCGCGATATGGGAAATTGTCATGTGATTATTAATATTACAGTAACCGTACTGGGCAGGACATGTGCGAAAATGCAACCGATGCATATAGGGTATTTCTGTGTGCGATAATATGCGCAGTTTAATGGCGATAGAAGTAATAATTTCGTGTGTAATGTCGCGTATCGGGTCTCCTTGTGAAAACAGACCGTTTATTACCAGAACTCGGCAAATGCGTGTTCGTTTTCGAGTACCGTACCTGATGTGTAATGTGTGATATTGTTTAACGATTAGTAGTATGACGTATTTGAATGTAATTACATGTATTGTTATTCTCTACATTTTGCTTTATTCAAATATAAAAATTGTATACCTATAAAATAAATTCAATTAAATAAAATGTCAACTGATTGTGTTTGAAAGGTTGATACAATTCATATTATGATTTATCAGAGTGTTAAAAATCCATTTTTTTCTGTAACAATCTAACAACTTATATTTTGCAACACATATAAGTGCGCGTACTTTTAATGGAACTTGTCAAGGCACTTTAGAACACTTTTTTTAAAGAACGTTTTTGAAAATTTTAAGTTTATAGTAGAAGAAAAAGTTGTAACTTACCGTTATATAAACATAAACATAAATATTTTTTTATTTGAAAAAATGTGTTAATGGAAATAATGTTTATAGTTTTTTGATATTTTTTTTCTTAGATTTTCTGAATCGAGCGTTTAAGTAATAAATCATCAATTATAATCAATTTATATATATATATATATATATATATATATATATATGTTGAGGATAGTTGAATTTGATTTTGAAATGTATTATTAAATTCTTGAAGGATATAGCATCAAGTAAAAAGTATAAAGTAAAGATTTTTGCAACATTTATATTACTCCATATGTTTTAATGTAAAATTCTATATCATCATCAGTATGTATGATTTTTTTAAAAGAAAACTAACTCAAAATGATGATAATGCCAAATAACAAAAAAAGTTATTATAAATTGCAACGTTGCACTTTTTGTCACTAGTTACTATTTCACAAAATATCATTTTAAAAAATGTTGAGAAATGCAGTGGGAAATGCTAGGCTACTTTAGTTTAAGTAATCAACTTAAAACTCATTGTTCAAACTAAAATGTGGCCTGTAATGGGTGCATTTCTCTACATCTAAAAAAAATAATAATACAAATAAATACTGACAAATAGTGCTACGTTGCAATTTATAATTACCTACTTTTTATTTGGCATTATTATTATTTTGTGTTACTTTTCTTTTAATAAGTTCATAACCACTAATGATGATGTCGAATCGTATGAAATAATAAAGATGTTGTAAAAAATTTTACTAATATATACTACTATATATATATATATATATATATATATATATTCTTCAAGGTCAAAAAAACAATTAATATATAACTATATATATGCGCACTTTTAATACGAGTATACGAACACTCAGCACTCACACTATTTAATTTATCCAAACTATAACTCGTGTACCGCAATGCACACATACCCCTTTTCAATTTGCTAACAATACTGGACAAAGAATATGCACCCTTTATAAATTTTTTGAACGAGGCTCTTCCGCGGACCTATTGGATAATTACTGCTTCATTTACTATGCGACATGCACCCCAGATAATCTCGACGCAATGACATCATATCATGAAAGCTTTTGTGATATTTCAAAGGGGTTGATTTTTTTAGTCTCACTGGGTGGATTAATGTAGAGTTATTATCAATGGGTTAATTGTTTTCGGTGTATCGTCTTTGAATGGGCACGTGCACAAGCTCAGTATATGTTGTATGGTGGTACCGAGGCAGTTTTGTTTAGATGTCTCATTATTAAAATTTGAATCATTTGGTTCCAATTTAGCAGAACTTAATTAATATGTTCCAAAATATGTCTGACACTACGTTTTGCACAACTTCTAGATATTTTATTTAATTAACAACTAAACGTACATACTAATTGGTAAAGAAAACAAGTTTATGTATTGGTTATACGAATCATTTAACTAATTTATATTCCCTATTTTATTGCTGTGCACTTA